GACCAAGACCAAGAAAGTCTTTGCTAGAATGGTCACTAGGCCTTGCATTCTCGAAATGCTCAAACAAAGCCAACCATACGCACGGTCCCCTATTTGGTCCTAGGAGAAGTTTTTTTCTTCCTATTCCCGCGGTTTGCACCTTTTCCATAGCTTCACGGCGTGATTGGAGTACGCCCTGACGTGCAATATAAGGAGTCGGAGCTTGGGGTTGATCCAACAACCACCCGTTCATTAGTCAACTGCTCTAATCCCCGGCCACCGCAGCTCGGCAGCGGACGATATCACACAGTCTCCTTGACTGTATAGACGTACAAAATGCAGGTTAAAGCTGTAGTGATTGTCAGATTCTGGCCGTCAAAGTCAAATATCTTGAGGAAGAAATCACGAAGATTAAAGCCCAATTACAATGCAGTTTAGATCAAACTTATGATACCAGTTTGCCTATTGGACGGGTAACCGGAAGTAGTATAAAACACCCAGCAAAATAGGCAGGCCAGCACCTACTACAGCGACACCAGAACGAATGGCGAAAAAGTGACATGATAACGGCCAGAAAAGAGACCCAATGACTGAAGACAAAAAGAAATCAGACCGTAAAGAGATCAAGGAAAACGGATAACTACCTCCTAAAGATGCCACCGAAGAAGCCGAACCGGAGACATTGACGAACGTCCGTCCATCATGCTAAATGTCGAGTGTCCGAACAACTTTGATTATTCTCAATAAAAGTCGGAGCTTGATAGGCCTAGCTTAGAGCGTCAGAGATCTACGCCATTTAGGGAACAGCACATCCGCAGAAAAAAGTTGTTAGACAAAGATGTCCTATAATACAAGGGCTCCCTGAATGAAATGCAAATGCTCCCAAGGAGTGGGCTTCGGAGATCTATCACTATTGCAAGGTCACCTTAAATATATTTCAAAACCCACTGAGGCAAATGAAGTGATCAAAACCCTCAGCCGTGGAAAACGAGCGGAAAATCCGACATACTAAGTGAAGGAGCTAACCAAAATACAACCACGTCTGCCCTCAAACGGAAATTACAATTCTTGTACACCAACGTGCACAGTTTGCTATGAAAGTTCGACGAGCTGAATATCCACCTCCGTCATCTGTCCGCTGACGTAATCCCTGTAACAGAAAGCTGGTTAATCCAACACATGGACAACTGTTAGTTAATCTGGCCTGGTTACCAGGTGTTGAGAAGGAACAGGGAAGAGTGCTAGGGAGGAGGTGTGCTCACGTACGTGAGACATGGGATTTAATATATCAGACTAAGGCGATAAATTTTCGTGTACTTCCGAGGCAATCTGACTGCCTAGTAAAGTGCCGGGATCACCGAGCCTCGAGGTCCTGACAGTCTATCGACCACCGAGACAGGACAGCATCGCCTAAGCTCTCCTGCTTGAGGAGATCGAAAAGTTTGCTATGAGGAGGGATACTCTGATCATGGGTGACTTGAACGCGCCTCACATTGACTGGAGTTCGGCCCACGCAAATAGCTCAGAACAGACCTTCACTGGGAGTTTTATGAGCGTGATACTGAAGTTATTTCGCACTTAACACGTCACGTCTCCAACTAGAGTACGAAAAGGCCATCAGCCTCCGTCTTTTCCTTAAGAAACCACAGGACAGCATTGATGAGGTGTCATGGCTATCCCCCCACCCCCTAGGTAAAAGTGACGTCGTCGTTCTACAAAGGGATTACTCGCTCTTTTCCATGCTCGAGAGACCCATGACAGACAGAAGAAGCATTTGGCGCAGGGATTTCGACAAAATGAGGATTGAAATTACGCGCATCGAGTGGGGATCCGTATTTGTTGGAAACTTACTGAATCACTGGCAACGCTTCCGATAAGTACTGCAGAGGCTTATCGCAAAACACTGTCCGCCATCAAAACAGGTTAACTAACAGACCTCGATGTCTTAAGCAAGCCCTGAAGAATGAGGTGAATAAAACGCACAGACTGTGGAAAAATCGCTTACTGACAGGAGTCCAACATCCATGAGTGCGCACAAAGTTCAAATAAATTTATCTAAGGGCTCTGTCCCCAGGACGAAAAGGGAAATCGAACAGGATCTGCTTAACCGTGCCGCGAAAAACCCCAAATTATTGTACGGTTAGCTGAGACAGCACGCGTAACAAGGAGCCAATACCACTGACAAGGACTGCCGAAGACGAAAACTTCACTGAAGATAGAGCGAAAAGTGACCATCTTTCAAACTTTTTTCGGTCCGTTTTTAGTGATGAAGTTGCATTCAACCGTCTTCCATGTGGCTCGGTTGGGGTCACGGTTGTTGAGACCATTTACTTCACTGAGGGTATAGCTCTGATGGAGCTGATAAAGCTAAAGGAATCAACACCACCAGGTCCCGATGAGATTCCGGCAAAGATTTTGTAGGAACTCGCCGCTGAGTTGGCTAAATCACTCTCTATGCTTTTCCATACTTCCTTGAAGGCCGGATATCTGACACCTAACTGTAAATCAGCGTCAAATATGCTGCTATATAAGGGTGGAGGTCGGGTATCTGCAAAAAAATTACAGACCTGTTAGCCCCACCTCCATTTGCTGCAAGATTGTGGAGGAAATAATTAAAAAAAAACAATTGATGCAGTTCCTTGAATAAAACTATCTATATTCCGATTTCCAGAATGGATTCCGAAAAGACAGGCCCTGCGTGACAAACTTGCCCTATGGTCTGGAACACTGGACTCGGGCTGTTGGTAGGGGACAAATGGAGTTTGCGGTACATGTCGACTTCAAGAAGGTCTTCAACAGTATGCCTCATCATCGCCTTCTGTACAAACTCAGCCGTATAAAAGTGAGGTGTAAGCTTCTGATGTGGATTCGGAGTTTTTTGCCCGGCCGCTTTCAAACCGTCCACGCCAGTGACCAGCAGTTGCCGTTAGGAGTGATCTTCTCCACTGCTCTGTTCTTGGCCCTACACCGTTCGTTATATACGTCAACGACTGTACAAACGAGATGAACTGGGATGTCACAATGTTTGCTGGTGACATAAAGAGCTGCAGCATAATACGAAATGAAGTTGACGAAGCGCGATTGCAGACGAACCTAGACCTCCTCGAGCAATGGTCAGACGACTGGCTTCTGCCGCTTAGCGCAAAAAAATATAACTTCCTACAAGTCGGCGGAACCAGTTCTCCTAACCACATGATCTACCGTCTGACCGGCTGACCACTGTAAGTAGTCGACGTCCAAATGGACTTGGGTATATGGATCGCAAACTCGCTTAAGCCTTCTCTGCTCTGCTCAAAGGAAGCTAAGTCGGCGATGTCCATCCTATACTTCGTCAAACGACGTTCTCTTCCTTTGATGAAGACTGCTCCACCAAGGTCTTTCGAACCTTTGTTCGGCCGCATCTGGAGTCTACTATTCAAGCATGGAGACCCTGGACAGCTAAAGACCTCAGGATACTCGGAAAAGTTCAACGGCTAGCAACGAAACTTGTAACTGTACGGTGGTCACTACCTTAAAAAAAACACGATTAGCAAATCTTGATGTCTTTCCTTTGGGTTACAGGCAGCTATGTGGTGACCTGATACAAGCTTTCCGAATCCTGCGCAATCAGGGCTACTGCTTCGTATTAGTAGACTTCTTCGATTTGACGACTACGGCTAAGCTGAGAGGCAATCCAATGAAACTACGTTTGACTGGTGCCCGTGTAGACACACGAAAGTTCTCCAACAGGGTAGTTGCAGCTTGGAATGCTTTGTCTGAGGATATTGTTATGCCGGTATCCGTAGAAACTTCTAAACGGTGGCTGGAGTTCGTACGATTATGCCACCCCGCCAGAGCCCCCTTGATAGTCCACATTAACATTTAATGATATCACATCACTACTAACAATATTTAATTAATAGCTTTTTGTGCAATTGATTAATTTTTTGACCACGACGAACATCCCAGCTCGCATTCACTAGAATACTTGCAGAAGATAATTTTTATTTATTTTCCTGTAGCGTAGGTGTGCTTCAAACATCTGCTGTATTTAATCAACAAACCGAGTGCATATACCTTCAAATACTGTTAACGCATGAAATACTGTGCTCATCTGTACAGTTTTTGATATTTCCCTTGAACTTCTTTCATGCTACTCTTTATCCACTTTTTTTCCATATAAGTCCTCCACGTATAACAATAAGGATTTCAAAAGCATACACCTACTTTCTCTCAAATAAATTGGACTAAAATAATCCGAAATCGCTGAAAATTTAGTAATTATACAGACAGTGGCAACACCGTGGGCATGAAATAAAATATTTGAGAAGGAAAAGGCGATTTTTGCTTAGTCAATCCCCTAGTGGAGGACGCAACCATCGTCTGTACAAGCGTAAAGGGAACCGGCAACTCTGCGACAATCATAGGTGCATCTCTTTACTCAAAATCACAAGGAAGATTTTCTCTCGCATCTTCTTCAGTTGCCTCAACGGCTACCCAGAGCAGGGACTTCTGCCGGAAAGCCAATATAGCTTTCGTCGACACCATGCAACCACCGATACGAATTTTTCTGTCTACCGGCTGCAAGAGAATTGTCAGGAAATGCGGACTCGTCTCCACACCACCTTGTTGTATACGACGAAAGCGTTCGACGAGGTGAGTCGCGAAGGACTGTGGAGAGTCATGCAGGAGTTCGGCTGTCCGGAGCGATTCACACACACGGTACGTCAACGCTATATTGGGATGGTGGCACGCGTCGCTGATAACCGCGCAATCGCCGAGACATTCGCAGTGATCAATGGGATGACGTAGGACTGCGTATTTGCGCTAACCAGCGTCATCCTCATGCTCTCTGCCTTGCTGATGGACGCTTAACGTGATGAGCGCCCCCGGATCCGCGTCGACTACAAGACCTACGGGCACCTTCTCAACAGCCAGCAAATGCAGGCATCGAAGCGCCTGTTTACAACTACTGTCCATAATCCGCTCTTCTCTGACGACTGGCACTCAACAGCACAACCAGAGAAAACATTCAACGACGAATGGATCTCTTCTCCTCCGTCTCTGCCCTCTTCAGAATGACTGACAAGATGGTGATCATGCATCAGCAGCTGTCCGCCGCTGAATATACTATCCCTCGCTTCTGCGTTAACGGTACCAAACTAAAGACTGAGGATAATTTAAACTGCCTAGGCGGCACAATGTCTCGTTGCATCAGAATGGACGACGAAGTGGATCACCGGATCGCTAAATCCAGCCAGGCTCTCAGACGGTTTCAGAACTCTGTGTGGAATCGTCGCGGTCTCCAAATGGATACCAAATTGAAGATATACAATGCCGTCGTCCTGACAACACTTCGATACAGACAGAAGACCTGGAGCTTCTACTCCAGCCATACCAAGAAGTCAACTACTTCCACCTTAACTGCCTTCTCAGAATATTAAAGCTGAGAAAGCAAGACCGGATCTCCGACACAGAAGTTCCATAACGGATCGGAATTCTGGGCATCTATGCTAAACTGAGGCACGTGCAGCTACGTCGGAGCGGTCATCTTATGAGGATGGAAGGTGCAAGTCTATGAAAACAACTCTTTTATGGCATTGTCACCACCGGTGCTCCCCAACAAGGAGGATAGAAATGCCGTTACAAACGCACATTGGAGAATTCTCGTAAACAATTTCATATCAATATAGAGATCTGGGAGGACCTCGCTCGAAAGAGATCGGGATGGAGAAAAAAAGTGAAGACTGGAACAGCCATCTGCGAGTCAAATCGGACCGCCGTCGCCAAAGCCAAACGGTAGGCTCGCAAATCACAAGTGTCTCGCCTCCTCAATGTCAAACATCCGCCGCTTCCAGCATGTCCGCGCTGCCAATGCCCATTCCGCACGCGAATCTGACTCGCTGGACACCTTCGGACCCATTGTGCCACTAACTCGACAACACCTACCTCATTTCCCACTATCGCACCTGCCGCAAACTTCGTGCCGACCACCGACCCCGACCCCGTCACCGTCGACCGTACTGTCGTCTCCCCGCCACCACCATCCACCGACGACATCCGCCCTGCCCCAACCCCTGCATCGACCGCAGAGACTACCATCATCATCGCCACTGTTTCGCACACTTCCCTCACCGATGGGATGACGTCCAATGTCCAATCATCATTAACACTCCCACTTTCAGCGATGTAGAACCGGCCATTACCTATCCCCACTGCGATTGTACATTTACCTCGCACATCGGCCTGGTCGGGCACTTGCGAATTCATCGCACTGAGACCGGCAAACCAATGCTTGGAACACCAAGCGAAACTCCCCACACCCTGCTAAACTGCCCTCAGTGCCCCGTACATCCATTCAGCGCATGGGCTCATTGGGTCACATGCGCATGCTCGAAAACCTGTTCCAGACAATTGCTGGCTACCCCACACACCCCCCACCTACAGTTGCGTCACAAAACCATATGACCACTATAAGTACGCGACTGTCACATCCAATGCATGTGGGAAGTGTGCGTCTCGGCTTCATCTCCAAGCGGCTCCTCTGCTGCATGCGTTATCAAAGTCTGAGAATATGCCAGCGCGTCAAGCGCAGTGGCTGGGAAGGCAGCCGATTGACGTCTCAAATCAGTCCATGCAATCTGCCCAGTTGTGTGTGTGTTTATGTGGAGTAGTGGACTGGTGGGCTGAGAGAAAAGCTGTCACGGCTCCTCCTTAAAGTGACCTGTGGCACTCTCATGCATATGAGGAGTGTGAGTTACTCGATGGGTAGTGCCTTTCAATCGCTAACTGACTGGTTACCCAACCTTTGGACAATTATGGTCCAGGAGAATGCAGGCCTGTGTGTAACCCTTCTGAGTCCCGAAGTTTGTGAACGTCTGGTCAGCCAGGGGGTGTGGTGATATGGTTAGGTGCGGGTGAGGCTGAGCTAACAACGTGACCTTCTCTCATTTCCGACCTTCTTGACTGTGTGTTGACACCGGGCAAGGTGGCAAGGAAGAGAGAGTGTAGTAGAGGCGCAAGCCACTATGCCTGCAACACCTTGCTTGTAGCACATCGTCGGATGCGATGGTAACACTATCAAGATTGATGGTGATGTCCCTGCTATCATGTGGTTCGTCCTAAAGACGGTGCATAAGAGGGGTACGGGGTAAGAACCCAGCCTGAGGGATCATTTATCTCTTAGTTTAGGCACAACTAACTTATAATACTACAGGTTTTGGTAGCGCAGGCGGCGCGAATACGCAGCTTGCTTGTGCTTCTCCTCCCGTAAAACAATCAAACAAGCAAACAATTTCAAATTATTTGGTCACAGATGATCGAGCAAGCAGGGCCCAGCAGTCCAAATTCCACCCGCTGACCTTGCCGTATGGACGAAAGCTAACCCTTTTGCGTTTCGGAGACGCCGGTCATATCCCCACCAACCTCTTTTGGGTTTCTACATGACTTTTAACTTTTTAACCTCTCCCGGACCTTCCAGAAGTTGGTATACTGAGTACCTCAGGAACAAGACCAAAATATTAATAATGAGTAGCACTGTTGCGCAATAACACAGGGAATACCTTGAAATGATGTTCCACCGCCCTTAAAAACCTGACGTATTCAAACTGACAATGTACAGCTTTGCATTTGTCTGATAGTTCTCGAAAACCTCGTCGACTATAGTGGCGCCCCTACTGTCTTAAAGGATTGCTGACGTCAGTGATTTACATCCTTTACTTCCAGACAGACGGGGACCAGCAGCGAAAGACTGAGGTATGGCAAGCCGACCGTCTTATAAGATACGACAAAGTCCGTTGGTGACAATGTGACATAACACCCGTAAACCGCCATTATGTAAGTTCGCTTACCACCGTTACCGTATGGTTAGGTTTTTGAAGCAAGTCTTTTGAAGAGACAACCTCGAAAGAAGAATCCGGGCAACTATTAAGAACCAGGATGTAATCAAAATACCCAAGAAAGCTCTTGCTGTTTTTGTATCAAGTATTGCTATTAATGCTATAACGACCCTTGGAGCTGACTCGCTTCGCAGCCCTGGTTTAGTAAACGAGCTGAACTACTCAGTCGCTAATGGGCTCGTGGTTTTAGATGCTATGATATGCAAACGCTCCAAGATCCCGTCACCCAAAATTTGGCGGCGCGCAGTCTTCATTATTATTAAATACATGTATGCTACCTATCCGAAGCCTGATTCTCCGATTAAGGTACTCGAAAAAGTAAGTTCCTTGAAGTAAATTCCGTCTTCCCTCTATTATTACAGCGACCCATGCGACTATCCTGGTAGGTATGGTGTGCGATTGCCCACGTGCCACAAGAAAACCATACAATTTACGTGAAAATCAGTCAATAACCAGCTGGCTTACGTTCTACTGACGGGTCACTTTACAAACGTCTCTGTCGTCTCCGTGTACGCACCAACATCAACTTCAACCAGCGCAATAAAGAAACCGTCCACCCGTAGCCGCACTTGATAGTTGAAAGACTCACTGTGGTTTACTGATTGTTGTCCACGGCTCGTCAAACAGTCGCCTTGGTGACCACTTTAGGCTTGGTTCTCGATCGGGACTGAAAACTGAACGTTTGTTATTAGAACCAACTACTAGTCATCAAAAAGTGCTTCCGGAATAGCCTGATATGCAAAGGACGGCCATATGACCAGATAAATAAACTCTATTCTCGTTGGTTCATGGTTCCGCTGATAAGTTCATGTTAGCAGGTCGATGCGTGGTCCTGAAACTTTCGACGTCCATAGACTCACGTCATGTTTTCGATCAGAGATTCCAGAAAGCTCACCTCTGATCCGCACCCGAAATGTTTCGCGAAAAATGCTCTGGTCTCAAAGTCAAAACAACCCAGCACGGCCTAGGTCCTGGTCACGGAAATTCGGCCTACTTTTATGATACGAATACAAAGAGGGGGTAGTGGGGAATGGTCAGCATTGAAGTCATCTGACTCTGCGGCAGCTGAGGAAATACCTGAATTCACCCGCTGGCACCGCAAAGATTGGATTAGTAAAAAAACATCGCAGTTGGCTGACTAGACGGTTCGAGCTAGGTACCACAACGATGACTCCTTTTGCCAAATCCCGAAAATGACGGCAAAACAGTTGAGGTGACAGAAGGGCAAAGTGGACTGAAGTAGCTGCCTTCATAAACCAGGTCTCAGGCGTCAATGACGCTTAAAAACGAACAAATTATCCACGGAGGCAGTGGAAAGTGCGCTATGCAGAGTAACCATGTTCCCGATGCGAATGGCGACCGTAATGCTAACAATTTAACCCAGGTAGAGTGTTGGTGTGAGCATTACGAGCACTTTCTCAATTTCGATGACTAACCCTCTACGACCTCGTTCACCTCTTCAGGAAGGCCTGATCCATCTTCGGTTTATGCAGTATCATGTGACCCCTCACACTCTGAGGGGGAAATCGCCAACACGATACGGAGACCACATAACAAGCCGCCCGGAAAGGACGGTATTCCCACTGAAATCTACAAGTCTTGTGTCGATTCCCTCGCAACCTGGTTTAATGAGGTAGTTGAGCAAGCTTGGGGAGGTGGGACTGTTCCTGACGACTGAGACTCGGACATCCTTGTGCCTGTTTTCAAGAAGGGAGATAAGACAGTGTGCGAGAAATACCTTGGTACAGGCTAAGCCAATGTTCCCGTGAACGCCACCGCCGATTTTAAGTTAAACAGCACTCCAGGATGAGACCTAACCAATCTGGATTTCAAGTTGGGCATGGGTGTGCTCACAAGATATTCACGCAGTGGTGTATTCATGAAATCCGATATGACTACCAACAATCTGTTGGCAGCTGTTTTGTAAACGAAGTCTCAGCGTCCGCTTCCGATCATTTCGTCGTAAATAGTCAAAGTAGATTGGTTATCGACAAAATCATCGCTATGGTTAGAGCCAGCTATCGTTCAGTTAATCTGAGAGTTCTGTTCCGTAACAATCCGTCAGAGCTGATCGCTATTCGATCTGGTCGAATCGACTCGTCAATTTTGTTCGAATGCGTTACTGTACAGAGCCTCGGAAGGACACTACACGGAATTTACGGCGTTGGATCTGCACCAGCGAGTCGGGTGACTGACTAAAAATGGTGTTAACGACATGGCCTTGCTAGCCTCAGACTCTGATGATCCATAGCTTTTGATGTCACGAAATGAAAGAAGTTGCCAAATCGGTCAGTTTATCCATAAACGCTCAGGATGCTCCAGGCTTTCTTGAGCTGTATTCCTACCCATGAGAATACACGCCTCGGGATCAATGGCAGTGACCCTGGGGAAGCATACAGTTTAAAATGTCTCAAGGAAAGGCTGTTGCCGAATGGTCGGAGAAAGGACGACATCATTTCGTGGAGCGATGCTGTATTTGGATCCGACACGACATCTCCATCGCCAGAAATGTCTGCGTATATCAGCACACGTCCAGTCAGCTGTGGAATATGATCCAGAACTATAGATGCTTAACAATCGCTGCCTGAGGAACATCCTTCAAATAAAGTTCATTGGCCTCGTCTCCAATGAGAGAGGCCGCACTCGCTGAGACAACACCGTGAGTATATCCCAGGCCAGTCAAGAAAGACAACTGACATGGTTTGAGCACATTCGTCGTCGTCCGTCCATGAACTCGGCTTTGCAGCCTCCAGTCCGGCTCCGATGCCCAACTGGGGGCCAACCCAAAGCTTGACTCGATACAGTTCGCAATGTCATGGAAATGCTTTATGGACCTTAGTTATTCGGTCTCCGGCGCTGAGGAGAGAACGAGTCGAACGCCCCAGATGCGCTACCGCAGACCTTCAGGCGTGAAGAAGCACGATCTGGGATACCTTCAGGACTAGCTAGATCACGTACGATCACAGCTGTACGAAGCACAAGCAAGTAAACGGCTGCAACAACAACAACAACAACAATATCAACAACACGACAGTTTGACCGTCGTAAGCGGCGATACCCACCCCATACAACAAGCATACGTGCCGGACGCAGTGCGATGACTAGCACAGAAATCAGTTTATTGTTAAAGCCCACTTTCATAGCAACAGCCGCACTCTATCCTCCTCCCCCACCTGTATCCGCTGCTAAGACGGAGTCAAGATGGTTGAAGGCAAAAAAGGACGCAAGTGACTGACACGGCTTAAACCAGCACCTTGGCGTACCTCAACACCCCCTTGTCTACTGAGCACGCTGACCAGGATTTTATATCACATCACAAATAAGGGGACGGCGCGGATTTCCGATTGGCGCGGCGTGAACCGGCAACCGAGCCTGCCACCTCACCCGGAATGTTGGCATGTGTTATGGATGCGCATTCCCGAGAACACATGCCAGACTCCGATTTCGTTCTTGCGTTGGGCCAGCGTACCTTTCTCGTGACCCGTCTTTTGTTCATGCGCGCACACACGACAGTTCTACCGTCGTATCCGATGCGGTGGTGCCCCGATGACGATTTACGCGTGATAAGGTTTATGCTAGTAGAAGACTTGGTCACATCTAGCGCACTCGGTACTCCTACCCCATCTCGGCCTGACGTCATAACCGTCTCAAGAAGATCGGAAATGGGGGAGGGTGAAGAAGGGTAGTACGGGCGTCACCGCCCCTAGATGTGTCGTAACACCCCGTTTGGAACCCACGGATATGGCGGGCCCTTGAGGATACATTAAGAAGGAGCCATTGCAGTCTGACTCTAAGTCTGCTAGACCACCACACCACACAAATACACACTGGGCTGACTGCGGGGCCCGAGTTATCCGTCTGGTTAGCAGCCTTCCAGGCCATGGCTTTTAGGGCACCGTGATAGCTTCAAAATCGTAAGATTTTTTGCATTGAGGGAAATGCGCAGAGTAGTCGACGTCATTCTGTATTCCCATTCCTGGCCCCAGCCACTGTCCGGGCCGGTTAGGTTTCTGGTGCGGGGAGTGGAGTTAGAGGCTGACATAGCTAATGACCTCGTCTGCGCATGTCACATACACGACCTGGCCCCCAGACACAAGCACCAAATCGTCACAGAAGAGGGATAGGCTGTATGGGTGAGAGCGGCAGACGTCACGTTAAGAAGGAGCCGTCGCAGCCTGAATCTCAGTTCACCAGTCGGCCAATGCACAAAAACACACACTGGCCTGACAGCGGAGCTTGGGTTTCAATGTCAGTTGACAACATTCGAAACCACGGTGCTCAGCGCATCGTTATAGTCTCAGTCTCAATTCGCACATACAGAAGATGGGCCAAATGGAAATGCGGCCGAGAAACACACTTCCCACTTTTCAGTTTATTTCAGTTTATTTGATAATGATGATAGGCAAAGCCTTTGAGAACCCTTTTGATTACATGTCAGCTCGTTAGAAATAACTGTACAGTAACAATGGAAATATTCGCTATATAAACAGTACTTGATTCATTCACTTACGTGAGAGGGGCTAATTGTGTGCTTGCGTTGTGTGATGTTTGAAGAACTGTTTGAAGAACAACCACAACCCATTCCTCGTAAAACTCGTGGCGAACTAATGAAACAAGTTGACATTTCCTACTATGGTAACTGTGATGAAGATGACGGCGTTATTCTCCCTCAGGAAGCCGCCTACGAGGAGAAGTGTGAGTTCCCTCCCTAAGATCTTGTCGCTGCAAAATTCCTTTCTAAATGTATACCCAGTCGCGGCATGCTTATTTGACCGGTGCCCACCACTGGTCGCATACAGATTTGGCTAATAAGAAACGCATGGCAAAGGCAAATAGAGCCTTTACATCTTGGCTTTGTCGGCAACTAAGTTTAGCTGCAATTTGGGAAGGATATCGGCACGTGTTCTACTTTTGCCACTCGGAGTACTCGGCATCGGCTTTAGGTCGGTTCAATAATGAATCACAGAAGTTTTATTGCCTGTTCCCGAACGTAACTACTTTATAAATCGGAGCCCCGATCCTTGCAGTCCGAGACTGCCTGACCTCCCAGTATATTTAACCCTAAAGATCCCGAAACCATGGTACGTGTGTGTGTGTGTGTGTGTGTGCCCTCAAAACGGGCCACGTGTTAGATGCGCTGGACCAACGGGGGGGCCACATCGGACTCTGGCAGGCGTTATCTTTGCGTAATAACAATTGCCAACATTTGCGGGGTGCGCTGGCGGACCCTGTTGTCGGCATTCGTCGCACAACCGGATCACTGTCTCCACCCCATTGTTTTGTGGTCAAAATCCTGGTCATTTGTGTGTGGACCAGGGGGTGCGGAGTGGAGCGCCAAGGCGAGGATCCGTCCGAGCCATCCACCTGCGGCCTCCCCCGTGTCCGGTCTTCTTGACTCTGTCTTGACACCGGGCCCAGGCGGGGGAGGAGGAGAGAGTGTAGGTAGATGCAGCGCAAGTCTACTGGCACTATAAACCCCTGCGCAAGTCACCGTCCCTGCTCCCACAATGCAGTCTGTGGGGCACACGGTGGACATCGTCGAAATCGACGGTCGAACTGTTGTGTTGTGTGATGTTGAGTGTGATCATGTGTGTCGCAGGAGATGGTGCGGAGATATGCGGTAATATGACAAGGCCGGTTGTGCTCTACCGTGGGTTTTCGTGGAGGCGCATGTGGACTAATAGGTCCATGCGGTGCGTGAATGTGTGTAGACAGTATAGATAGTTGAGATGTGTGAGGTGTGCGTATTTTGGTGCTTCTAGCGGCGGTTCGTCAGGTTCTGTGCGATGGGTTTGCAAGTGATCGACCAGACCGATGCGGGTGGCACCTGTGCGGTGACAGTGAGGACAGGATAGGTTGGAGGCTGCAGAATTGGTCGGGGTGGTGGGTCAACCGGCAGTGGTTGTGCTGGTGGGTGACGGTTGTTAATGCTAGATATGGAAGAGTTGTGGGGTACACAGGCTACGCTTGGAGTTTTGAGGTCCGCCTTCGCAGATAAGCATGTGACCGAATAGACCAATGCGGCGAATGAATGTGCGATCGAAAGGAGAACAGTTTGGGATCATTTCCTCATTGCTAGTGGTGAGGGCGGCGGTGATTAATGTAGTGGTTGATGGAACGTCCGGTGTTGTCTCATTGGTGGTGGGAGGTAGGGAAAAGGTGATGTTAATGGAACTTATCACTGTGATCGACGCAGCGGTTGCAGCAGGAAGGATGATGTTCGTGATCTAGGGTGGTGGGATATCGAGAGTGTGATCACTGGTGATAGGTGTTGTCGTCGTCGTGGGGCTTGAGGCAGGGGCGACAGTAGGAATGTTTGTGGAAGGAAAGGTTGGTGCTGCCGGGTTGTTGGTGCATTGCCTCTAAGGTGTCTGACGAGGCCGTTCATCGTCCATCCTCCCCAGGTGGCCGCTCCATCAGAGTTGTAGCCGCCTCAGCATGCCGTGAATGCCGACGATTCCGGTTCGTTCCAGGACTTCCGTGTCCTAGAACCTGTCTTCCCATCTTGGCTCCAGCAATCGGTGCAGGCAGCTGAGATGGACGTGGTTGAGCTCCCTGAAATGGGTGGAGCAGACAGTCCAGGCCTCCGCCTCGTACAGAAGTGTCGTCAGAACGACGGCCTTGTGCAGCTTCAATTTGTTATTTAGTCGAAGGCCGTGACGATTCCATGCGGAAGCTTACAGCCGGCTGAGAGCCTAGCTGGCTTTGGAAATCCGATGGACAACCTCGTTGTCAGTTTTTGTGCAACGCGCGATCGTGCTTCCTGGATAAGCGCGGTTGTTCACGGTTTAAACTTGGCTGCCGTTGACATTGAATTGAGGGCTGCTGCATTTAGCGTTGGATGACGGCTGGTGCACGAGCATCGTTTTGTCCGTGTTGGTTGTTAGTCCTATAGACGATGCGTATCCCAGGGCGTTCACCACAGTAGGCGTCCATCAGCGTAGCAGAGAACGTGAGGCTGAGGAGGGTGTGGGACGAGTATGCGACCCTGCTTCACTCGGTTAGCCATCGCAAATGCCTCAGAGATTGCCTCGTTCTGCGTGACACGGGCTATCATCCCACCGTGGAGCTGAAGTACCCCGTGCGTGAATCACTCAGGACATAAGAATTTCTATATGGTTTCCCACAGTCCATCGTGAATAACCACGTCAAAGCCTTCATCAAACCCACAAAGGTAATGTGGCGGTGGGTTCATATCTCCTGGTTTTCCGTTGTAGCTGGTAAGTGGTACAGATAATTCCTATGGTTCTGCGGTGTCATCGGAAGCCACACTGACCTTCCTGAAGCAGCCCCTGCTCTGCACGGCCATTGAAACGATTGTAAAGCATTGTGATGTCTTGTTGTTGTCACAGAATTGCCCGTACCCCTTGCGCTTTTAGAGGCGAACGGTGAGGGTAGGTTGTTAACCCACTGTATTTAATATGCATCACCAACTACTGCGTTTGTTTTAGTAGGCCTAAGTTAATTTATTAATTTATGGCCATGGGGGTCTCCTTTTGGCGTATTAATATGACTGCATGCACCGAGTTGTTTCGGTGTGACCTTTTTTATAGTGATAATCCATTATGCTATATCCCTCAGTTCTGTGCGGAATAGAAGACAGACAGGATACCGGATAACAGCTTCACTGTGCCAGCTACCCTGTGTACAGCAACCCTAAAGCCTTCTGTCCGTGCCTTTGTAGTTAAGGATTCGACCTTTTTCTGGTTTTCATGTTCCTACTGGTCCAGTTCTGAGCGTCCGCATGGGCAGACCCCCACCTGAAGGTCGCGCATCACTCCTCGCGTGCGGGCCTGCTAGGCGAGACTGCCCTGCCTGTTTGCGGTTCTTTGTCAGGTGCGACCTCCGGACGACAGGAAGGGTGCGCCATGTTCCGGACCGTCCTATCATATTAAGCATGAGGTGGTCTTCGGTTTTCGCTCCCCCTGTCCGTGATCGATTTGTCTTATCTTGATTTCCTCGTTATCCCAGTCTTCTTACATTGCCTTTCGTTGTTAGTTCCGTGCTCCGTGACTTACTTATTTCTTCCAAAAGAATGTTTGTGTCATTTTGTGCCATTTAAGTACTCACCATACAACGCGCGCTGTAATGATCGCCGGCTGCATGTTGGTTTACTTAGCCTCGATTAGAAAACAAACGCTGGACTCCCTCGGCATCTTCAAACGGTTTCTATTACCGAATACTTACGCCGTGACTTAGTTACTTCTTCAACAATATTTGTGTGCATTTACTTGCACAACCACTTAAATTTAGTCGAGTCTACGTAGAAAAATCTACTTATAGATGGTTGTTAAATTGCCTTTAGGAGGGAGTCCTTCAGGTTTCCTGTTGGAGAAGTTGGTGCACTGGATATGTTTCAGCAATATGCGACAGGAGTAGTTCCGACGCTTGCTTTAAGCTAAAGCCCTCTAAGCAAAACTGTAGGGGATATTGAACCTTGCCTACATGGACGCATATTGCACGACCCGCCACCGGTGTAGCAGCCGCTCCAGTCCCCCTTTTCTCCGGCTCCGTTTTGTCGGTCGATGGCCGCGACAATCGTTGCCAGGCCGCCGGCATACAACCACCCCCGCCGATTATAACTGGCCCCCCCCCTCCTGTCTAGCTGCAGTGACCCCCGGCTGCCCCCACAATCAATTATCACCTCATGCGCGTCGGACGACCTGGCTTGATACCCATGAGCATCTGTAATTATGCCTCCCCTAATCCGTCCAATCTCATGACCAGCATTCAACAGTCACCCCCACCTACTGACACAGACTTTCACTTCCGCGTAAACGACACACAGCGTCTGACGCTCTCCGTGAACGGACGCTTTTCTCTGTTGCAAGCAAACAGCCAACTTACGGCAACCTGCCCTGTGTACAGAATAAACTAGTCCTCACAGCTCCCTCACTTCTGTCACTAGACGAAGCGAACTTATTGTGCATGCTTAAAGTTGATCTCATATCCTTGACCGCCACACCGGTCATCCTTCGTGGAGCTACCGTTTCAGTTTGCTTCAATGCGCCTCAATCAAACCGGCGTATTTTTCTGTGGTCCGATCCCTTAAATACTTGGTATGACTGACTGTAAAGTGTTCAGTGATGACCCATTTGGCGTCCGCATTGGCATTTTGCCACACTAGGTAGTAGTTCCCTTGCTGAACTTCGGTTATTTCTCCCACTTTCGGCAGAAAATCAAGCTGGGGTCGTTTGACTTTTCTGCAATCTGGAGACGATGGTCTGAATTTTGGAAGGAGGAAAAATAAGCATTATTGCTTACTCTGCCCACTAATGAATTTCATTATTGTATATAATCTAAACATTTGTATTTTTATTTTCCCTAAATTTTCATATTATATTACTAAGCTGTCTTATTATGAAGATGCAAGCATAAAATCTTGCCTGCGTTATTTGAAATTTTGCGTGCTCATTAGGGTTTATTTCTGAAGCTCCTCTAACATTCATTTGCATAACAATTCATTGCAGCGAATTTTCACAGTTGAATTATTTGGCACTAGTTGATTTTTTTTCCACTGGTTCCTAATCTACATCAGAATTGCAAGTGGCGATTTATTCAAATACCTTTTATTTGTTGAGTTGCCTTTTGCTTATGTTTTAATCAACGCACCCGATTTCGTTGTCATATTTAGGTTCAGAAGAAGACTTCAGACGGAAACCTGTTTATTTTCTGTTTTTTGCATTTATTTCGTCCTCCACTCACAGCAATGCCCTACCCGTACAACCGCTATTACCACCATTTCTGTATTACACTTACCCGGGGTTACCGGTTGCGGGGTATGGTCACACAACCTACGGTTGCCGGATGGACGATTGTTGCGTACCTGCAATCCTGAGGAACCTGCCCTTGGCTCCACATCTCATAAAAAAGCGCCCTGATGTGATTCACTGGTCGGCGGTCTTCATGTTTTTTGATTTCAGCTGAGCCTGCGTCAGAACCTAGTGCTTTCCCGCTGGAGATTTGTTGCAGAGCGCAGATGGTCTCTGGAAGGAAAGGCGGCAGACCCAGGTCGATGTTGATTTCTACTTAAGAGAGCCGGTCGATGGCGGCGGCGGAGATGGCTGATGAGCGGCTGAGGACACATCTGAAGTACCCGGTCCAGCGCTTCAGAATCTACGACATCTCAGCTAGAGGAGTTGTTCCGTCGGTGCTGAGAAGTGGGGCGGCCCACATGGCCGTAGGGCCACACATAACCTTGATCGCTGCGAGAAAGTTGTTTGATTCATTGAAGTCCGCATTCCTTTGGATCACCTCGGCCTTGCGAGCCATCCAGGCGTCGTGCATTTCTCGCAACCGTTGTTGCAGATGACGGCGACTTTGATGGAAGGCCGTTTTGTCTATATCGGTTGGGCGGTCAGTGTAGGCTCTATGCAGCCTGTTCTTTTCGGCGAGGAACTTGCTGATGGCTACGTCGTTTTCGTGAAATCATTTCTGTTGTTGACGACGTGCGCGTTCGAGGACACTCAGGGTGGATAAATGGATGACGTCGCGCAGTTGGAACCATTGAATCTACACGGAGGCACTTTCATATGGAGCCCGTAGGTCTTCCAGTTGTCGAGTCGGTTGATTGCTGGAATGGAGACGCTGGACAGCAAAATTAAACGAGGCAGTATTTAACCTACCTGGTGACCGCTTACTTTGTGGTCGCCCGCGAGATTGCCCTCGGGTCTTCATCTTGGAGACGACGAAGCCGTGATCTGTCCAGCCATTGACGTCGCTGATCGTCCTAGTCCTGTCAATCTCGCCCCGGATGTGAACGTAGCCCAATAGCTATCAGCACCGCGATCTGGGGGCATCGATGTCGCCTTTTCTCGTGCCGGAAGATTGAAGAAGGTGTAGGTCAGCAGAAGACTTTGTTCTGAGCAGGTCCACTGTAAATGGAGTCTGTTTTCGTTACAGGCGCCGCGACCGTGGAGCCCCAGCACCCTCTTCCAGGCAGCGTGGCCTGTCGCGGCGCGGGTGTTAAAATTGCCAAGGGCGACCAGTTTATCCGTCTTTGGTCCAGACGCCATGAACGCGTGCAGGCCTTCGTAGAATTTATTTTTTTGCCCCATCAGAGCTGGTCATTGGAGAGGGGCATGAACACCGATGATAGTGACGAATTTATATTCCCAAAAAGGCGGACGCAAGGTCACCAGTCGGTCGTTGGTGGCCTGCGGCAGACAAAGCAGTCGTCCCACGATGTCTTTCCGGATGGCAAAGGTGACGCCTGTCTCGCGTCGCTCTGCTTTTGGGCGGTCGCTCCAGGGGAAGGTGTAACCGGCACCCGTCTCCTCTGGCTGGCCCAGTTTAAAGAACAGGGTCCCGTTTAAGGCAGCGATGTCCGCCTTATAGTGCGTCAGTTCTCAAGTAACAAGCACCGTTCTCCGTTCCGGTCGGTTGCTACTCCAATTTGTCTAACATGGAGTGAACACTAGACTGCCAGAGTGAGCGGACAGGAGGGGACGAGGGTGGTTGTTGTTCATCGCAGCGTTTTGTTTGCGGGTTTTGCATTTACCAGCCACAGTATACTGGTAGACGGCGGAATTTCCCAGTAGTTGTGTAGATTGTCATTTCTAACTCTTTTCCCGTCAGGGAGATGCTATCCCTAAACAGGGCTGTTTAGACATCTCAGAAAACACCGAACTCCACTATGGCTCACGGATTGATTTATTGGAAGGGCGACCTGATTGCATGCTGCCCACTCAGTAGGACTTTTGAAGTTGAGGGGAAGGGGGAATTGTAATGAAAGCAGAGTTATTGGGTGTGGGAACACACACAACAACACAGGATACCCTCACTTGGTTTAGCCCGCCGTTGAAGGCGGTTACCACGGGTGTAAACGGTAGGCAGTGACTGCTTTTGAAGAACCATAGGTGATAGTTGGCTGCCAGTTAGTGGACGTTATTCGTAGTCATCACCTGCATGAGACAGACGATACGGCCTAGTACGACCTGCACGTGAAACACACAACTGGAAACCCCTACAAAAACGACGACGACGACGACAACGACAACGATATTAACAATATCGCAGTTTTTCCGTTACAAATGGCGATATAAAACTTGTGACAAACACAGACGTCGGGCGCAGGACGATTACATGCTCAAGAATTAGTTTGTTGTTATAATAGACCAGCTCAGCATCGGGCGCGCTAAATCCTCCCACAAATCTCTATTCCAAGTTGGAATAAGGATTCAAGACGACTGTGAGCCGGAACCAAATCCATAGAACAGGAACGAACGAAGATTTCGTTTCATCTTCAAAATCTGACCTGGAATCAACGCAGACGGTCACATTGAGGGGGCAATTAAATGTTTTTGATCTTAGCGGGTTTGACGAGCGTCCTGACGGTTGGTGTGCGAATAGTGGGTGGCTCCAACACCAACAAATTAATTCATACGAAATCACCGGCTCAAAGGACTGTCCAGGATCTCCTTCCTCGTGACTGTCGAGCCAGCATGTTTGACAGGATTGGATATATGCCGCCATGCCTTCTTTCCACAGAAGTGACAAATTAGAATGTCTCACCTACATAACTATCAGTAGTCTTCTTGGATTAACCATGCGTCCATTTGCAACAAGCTTCCACATCGCTGAAGCGTCTTCAGCGGATTTCTGCCGGTACGGAAGTCTCTGGCGACGATCTTTGGATACTCTTGCGCGCTTTTCACGATCCAGAAGTTTTTTCACTAACAAAACCCCATAACAAATAACTGTTGGGTGGGGATCTACTATTTTCGCCGCAAATATTTGTGGACAACATGGCGTTCGCGGTCATCTGGCAGAATACAAACATGGAAGTACATGTAACATTCCATGTCGCACCTTTAAGACTTTGTCGTCGAAATCTTGAGCGGTTTTTCTTTATGAACACTGCCCGTAAATAATTCTGAAACTTATTCTGGCAGACCATGAGTGTCGTTGATGGGATACATGCCGAGCCAGACGGGTAGTTTTACTGCACAGCGCTAGCCCAAACATGAACTCATCCACCGATACTTCCACAAGTGATTAATGAAATCGTTCTCTTACAGACTGTGAAAGTTGGGGTTGGGTATTCAACAAGCAAGCGCAGTGAAGCTCTCCGGGGAAAGAGGAACAACACTGGTGTTTTAGAATGACGAATCACCAAAATGATAAAATCTGTTGAAGTTACGTCCGACTAGGTAAATTGAAGCAGTCAAGCAGTTTTGCATAACAGTAAAGTGAATACATCGAAGACGAAGACAGGTTCTTCGGAAGAGGTTTATTTTAGTGCTGACGTTTCGAAGAGCTGGGTCGGCCCTTCATTGTCAAAGCGTAAAATGCACTTAATCGATCAGAAATTTAATTTAAAGTGGCAGTCGTGCTGGCCGGCCTCATGCTGATCGATTTTTTCTCCTCTCGCTGCCTCGGCCTCTCGGGAGATGGTTGACGGGCGTTTTGCCTGTGTGCTTTGTGAGTCACCACTCCGTCGAGGGGAACTGATTGGACTTTAGTCGGGCGCTTGGTCTGGCGGTTCTTCTTCTTCCTCACCGAGTAGACTCAGCGTCGGGCTATCTCCGTGCGGCCTTCTTAAGTCCGGTGTGGTTGTTTGGTCCTGAGCTTTACGATTGTGATGACGTAGGACTTTGTAAGCTTCAGGAAGGTCCAGATGCCTGTTGATAGAGTGGGCATCGGAGAACCACGCCTCGTAAGTTAGCCGTTCTGTTTTTGTGTTGCCTCGGCCTAAGATGGTAGCCCTCTGGAGGTCAAAAGTATGCCCCGTTTCTCCAACGTGTGTTGCTAGTTGAGAGTTAGGGTCTAACCTCCGAGTGGCCGCTTTGTGTTCCTGTAGGCGAGTTTGCAACTTCCGCCCGGTTTCGCCCACATAGTTGCAGTCGCCCTCATTGCAAGTTATTTTGTAGATGACTGCTGAGATTTCAGCGGGTAGCAATGGGTCCTTAGGCTGCATTAGGCGACGTCGAATTGTTGCTTGTGGCGGATGGGCTATGCCTATTCTGGTGGGATGTAACAGTCGCGAGACCGCTTCAGAGACCCCTTTAACATAAGGAATGGCCCTCCAGACTTCGGGTCGCTGCTCATTTGGCCGCTGTCTGGGCGCCCAACGTCTGCTTCTCTCGATGAAATGCCTGGGATAACCATTGGCTGCAAATAGGTTCACAAGGTACAATCGTCCGGCCCTTTTATCTTCTGGTGTGCTGCAGTGTGTTTCGACTCTTTGGAATAGAGTGCGGACACAACTACGTTTGTGAGACAGAGGATGGTTGCTGTTGAAGTGTAGGATCTGTCCCGTGTCGGTGGATTTTCGGAATACTGTAGTCTGCAGCTGTCCAGTGGTACACCGGCGCACAAGTACGTCAAGGAAAGGCAGTTGGTTGTTTGTTTCTGCTTCCATCGTAAATTGGATATCCGGGTCAACCGAGTTCAATATTTCTTTTAGGTGTTCAATGTCAGATGTTTTGACAAATACGAAGGTGTCATCGACATAGCGGGCCCAGAACTTTGGTTGATAATTGGTGAACACCAAATGTTCTACCCGTTGAAGAACTACTTCAGCGATTAGGCCTGATATAGGGGAGCCCATAGGAGTGCTTTTTATTTGTTCGTACATTTGTCCGCCGAAGGTGAAATAGGTCTTGAGACAGTATCGCAGAAGCTCGAGCAGATGCTCAGACTTCAGGGGTTTGTCTCTCTCCTCATACACACCTTAACTGTTGTTTGTTCTGTTGCTGCTGTTATCTCAGACGATGGGCTCTCACACGAATTAAAAGGCTCAGAAAAATAAACAAGAGCTTTCAGCGCCGAACCAGTCATCTTTACTCGTACATGCACCTGGAACACCTGCCTCTATATATCGTATTGCTAACTCTGTGCCGTGATTAAGTTTCACAATCAAAGCAATGTTAGGGCGGTCGCGAAAAAACTGCTCGAGCAATAATTAGAGAACTACCCGTATGGTAAACCCCGAAGGAAGCTTGCAACACAAAAGCTCATCAGATTGACCGCCTTTGACAACTACCGCATGCTAAGACATGGTTGTGGACGCCTAAACACCACCGCGTCACATCTACAAGACCCCTGTAGCTGTCTGAGTTACAGCTCCTGACGAAAATGAAAGGTAAACAGGAATTTGTAAGGCTGGTGTAGTGGCCGGAACTTCTTTCAGTCCCTAGTGAACTATAAATTAAAGCTTATTGTCATAGTTGTGACGAACAGAATATCAAGACGACCTCAATATCTTTACTTTATCACTGTGGGTCGTATTTGATGCGGTGTTTGTTTGCCTCTCCGTTCCTGATTCGTTAATGGTCATCATTTCATCACGGTCGTTGATTCTTGGCGTGGCGATTGTTCGGTAGTTTTGCTTAATGCCGCCGGAATTGTCGGTCGTCGTCCTTCTTTCGTGTCTATTTATTTTGTTCATGCCAAAACTGCAGCACATAATATGGAGGTGAACGTCATTGCGCTTATTAATTAAATGCAGGCCAGCGAACCAGGACTAAAGCAACTAAAGGCTCACCGGCTCGTCGCCAGTCGCTAGAATTTCGGCCTCGCCAAACCCGAAGCTGTGAACGCGTCTCGTCAAAATAAATTGCAGCCAGCGTCTTTCCCCCTCATCGCTGCTGCCCGTTCGGCCATCCGTGTTCGAAGTAATCTTCCTGTTTTTTCCGGCGTGGTTGTTTTGTCCGAAACTGCATTATATCCGGTAAACGACTCAGGACACTTCCTGCCTCGGCACAGGGTCTTTAGACCTCATCACCTAACGCTTAATTACAGCTTAGTTCGTCCATATACCGAGGCTTGCATTACGGTTTGAGATGTCAGAACAGCAGCGACTGCAACCGTTTTAGGATCGCCTCAGCTATGAGTCCCTAAATCGACAAGACCATTTGGGTGCCTTCAACTGCCGACATATTGTTTCGTCAATCGTGAAGTACGCTTTTATACAGAATTGTCGAAATTTTAATTAAAGACAGGCGGCCTCAGGCACTGAGCTATACTACATACAATTTAAACAAGGGGCTATCTCTGTCGGCTCCTTGCATGAGATGGTGCCTTGACTCACCAGCAGTTTTCCTGACTTTTTGGCCGTATTAAGCATACCGTCTCCTTTGTATTCCTAATGTTTTGAGAGTCTTGTCTGCTTGCCACAATGTATTTCCCACATTCGACACACTAACCACGATATCTGAGACATTCGTCAGCATGTGCAAGTTCTCATTTTTGGAAGTGTCCCAGTTCTTAATCAGTCTTTTTAGCTTTCGTCATCTTTAGCATAGGTAAGCTTGAATTCTTAAAACCTCAGTGACCAAAGCAGCTGTTAATTGCTCTGGTGCTTATTGCTTGC